ACGTGTGCATAGGTCACAAGCATATTTTCTTTATACATGTTTTAACGCGCGGAAATACAGACAACATAGATAAGAAAAAGATCATGTGTAACAAAAGCTCCAATACTGCCTTGAAAATCAACGTAGTGCTGTTTGAACACGTATCGAGAAAAGCTAATTAAGTGTAAAGCAATTCTATTTTTATAAACGCAATGTTATTTTGATTGTTGAAACATTTCGAAAATCATTTCTTTAACTTATTTGGCTATTTATAATGCATTCGTATCTTTTTTAATTTTAAATAAAAATCGGGTTTACGATTATTATATTAAAAATAGTGTTTTTCTTTTTTACATTAACGATTTACCTCCAAAATACCAGTACTATAAAATATTGTTTATTTATAGTTTGTTGTTTTTCAAAATAATTTATTATCAATTAATAAAACAACTATTATAAGTTAATACATTTAATTACATATTTTTAGAATGTGATGATATTAGTAGTAAATTTAAAGTTAAAAAAACAATTCTTAATAGTTTCTGTACGACCTGGCCACGTATTTCCCTCCCTATAATTTATTTTTTGCCAAACAAAAAAAAATTGTCTAACTCTGCTACACAACAAAAATTAAAATCGTTTTGTTACTGACTATGTTTTGATTAATTTCATGTGGTTTCAATATAATTCAATTCACTTTTTGGTTTTATTTAATAATATTATTATAATTAAGTCTTGTTTTTTTGTTGTTATTGTTTAATTTAACAAATTGTAAAAAAAATCTTTTTTAATCGTTTTGTTAAATGTTATGATATTGATTTAATTGTGATGGGACCTACATTGACCACCACCTTTACAAAAAAAACATTTGCCGCGAGTGTTTTTTGAAGGAAGTCCACTTTTCAGCCACTGTTTGTGCGTCCCCATGTCACCCACTTTCCTTGTCCGTACTGTGTGGACGCGGATGTGGTTCCCCCCCGCTTGCGGGGGGGTCAGGGGGGATCCGTGCCAAGGGAGGACTTGGAAAGTGGGTGAAACGGTGCACAAACAGACTGTTTGAGTGCGTCTTTATGAGCCTTCTTTTCAATGCTCCGTCTTTCTCGGTTTCCACTGACTCGAGGTGATTTTTAGGCATTTTTTGAATTCGGGAAACAGACCTAATATTATCCATTTTCCTATTTACTATAATTTTAATTTGAATATGATTCGAAATAGAAAAAAATAATTCTATTTTAAGAGGTGGTGGTGGTCAATGTAGGTCCCAATTGTGATTGTTAAATAAATTTGGGTATCAATTGTTTTTTTTCATGTTTTTTAAATTAAAATATTTCATCTTTTTAAAATAAGAAAATTGAAATGAGAAAATAAAATTTAAAATCAAAAAATTAAAAATAAAGGAAAATTATGATAAATAAAACATGTATAGATTGTACAAAATATATTAATATCTAGAAAACATAATATATTAATATAAAATGTCTATTTTTGTGAAATAAGTTTTTAACAAAACATTTATTTTAAATGAAAAAGTATATTTAAATAAAAATGTTTTTAATTGAGTAATTAAATAAATATATATTTAATAAACAATTGGGTGATTTAAAGTTTTGATGTTGATTTTGAAATTAATTTAATTTACACAACATTTGTAATTTATTGATCAATTTATCAACAAAAAATTTTAATATGTTTTTTTTACATTATTTTTATTTTTCATGTAAAATCAAAATTGAAACAATAAATAAATGAGTTTATAAAAAGAATTTTACGTTTATTTATTATATAGATATATTTTAAAAAATAACTGACATATTACATATCAAATAATTTTAAATTGAAATGTACTAATATTATTTTAGTATGTATACTGACAATTGGTTGATGTAACAACAAATTTATTATTACATAAATTTAGATTTACACATCATTTAAATTTAAAACCAATTTTCAAATTCAAACGTATTAAAGACTTCTTATAATTTAGATTACTTGGTTTTGCAAATATTTTATTGTTTACAATGAAATTGCCGTTCTCTAAATAATTCAAAATGTTCAAAATATTATTATTTTATTATAAACATTGACAATATTAATAATAGTTAAATTGTAACAGATTGTTTAAATTGTTATATTAATTCACAAAAACAATTTAACCTTACAAAGTGAAAACTGGATAAAAAATATCAAGTTCGTTTTTTTAAAAATAAGTCACTTTTTCTATTTTTACGTTTTGAACTATATAGAACTTTAAATAAAAATGACGAGCCAATTTTTTTTGCCAAACGAAAATGACATTGACGAGTATGACAGCTGCTCTGAAGATGCAATTTATAGTGACGATAATAGTGAAGACCACTTAAATTATGAAAGTACTGAATATTTAAATCAAATTCTCATGACTCAACTTCAACAAGAACAACAACTGAAAGTGTATAACACACAAAACACTCTATTACAAGATTATAATCAACAAACACAAGAACAACAAGTAAGAAATACATTAGTTCCCCATTCGTGTAATGACCCAAATTGTTTGAAATGTTGGCAGGAATTACCTTTTCAGGATGTTGATATTGGAGAGAGTTGTTTCTTTCATGACAAATCCGCCAAACCAAAAAATGATAATATAGAAAGAGAAATTGATTCTTTTAACACTTTGTTTGATGCTAATTGTCTTCAAATTATTACTAATAATACCAACAAATATGCATCTTTCAAATTTTTGCGATCCTGGAAAAATGCCACACAAAACGAAATGAATGCTTTTCTTTCTGTTGCGATAAAGGAGGGGATCAACGGTGATGTCAAGAAACCAATACACGAATTGTATACTACAGAGGCATCTCCATTTTATCGTGCATTGTTTTGTGAATACCGACTAAAGCTATTATTTCAAAACATTCATTTTGATGATAAAATAACAAGAGAAGAACGAAAAATTAAAACAAAAAGAAAGGATGTTGCCATCAATGAACTGTTTGATTTAATAAATTTCAACTTTCAAACATCTATGATTGTTGGGAAGAATGTGGTTATTGATGAAATGATGTGTCCATTTTATGGAAGATGTCCATTTAAAGTTTATATGCCTGCAAAACCAGATCGTTATGGTATAAAAACATACGCTGTTGTGGATTGTTACACAACTTATGTTTCAAAACTTAAATTGTATTGTGGTTCAGAATTCTCACAAAAAGTGACACCAAAATTAACTACAACTATTCCAGTTTTTTACGGCCCATCAAAAAGACCAACCATTATTGAATTGAACAGTTTCGAAAAAAAGCCAAAAAAAGAAAAGGGTAAAAGTACTCCAATTTCAATAACAGTTCTAAGCTTGATGGAACATTTATTTGGGGAAAACAGAGTTTTGTGTTGTGATAACTTTTTCGGAACGTGTGATTTACTTAAGAATTGATGAAACATAAAGTTTATTTTATTGGGACGGTTCGGCAAATACGTTTCAAAATTTGCAAAAAGATTCAGGAAAATTTGGAAGACCGATGTGTTCTTTTTCGTCATTCAAATTTAAAATGGTTCATGTTGGGTTTCAAAGAAAAGGAAAGTAAACAAAGAATTTGTCTTGTAACAACAAAAAATCAGAAAACTACAATTGATATAAATACGAGAATTCCACAAACGATATTTGAGTATAACAAAATGAAAGGGGGGTAGATATGGTTGATAAAATCTGTTCATCTCATACAACAAAAAGGACTTCGAGAAGGTGGAAAATAAAACACCAAGATGCAGATAAACGAAATTTCATCAACAACCTGTGTTTTCAAATGGCCAGCCCATATGTCGAAGACTTAAAAACAGAGAAAAAAATGACAATGGAAAGGGAAACCAAACTAAGACAAATTGGATTCGATATTCAACTCCCCGGACCTCCAAAGATTTTGTATTTGACAAGTTCTGGCAAAAAACAGTCTGGGTGGTGTAAAACATGTAAAGCTAAAGGTATTTCTGTAAAAACATCTTTTGTGTGTCACGTTTGCAGCAAAAAAATACCAATTTGGACATGTGGTAAGTGTGGAAATTGGGTTTGTAGAAACTGTTTCAATTGTATGAAAACTAAATGATATTATGTTTTTGAATTTGTTTTTAATTGTTCTAAAAATATAATCGATCTAGATAAATTTTATCCAGATTTCACCTTCCCACAAAAAAAGTTGATTCAGTTGACTTGCTAAGGTTAATGTATTTTATAACAATTTATATAATATTATGTTTTAAAACAACATAATTATTTAGAAATATCCAAAATAACAAAAATTATATCCTCTTTTGTTAAACATTACATAACCCTGAGCGTAAATTAAAATTTAGCTCATATTCAAATATCGTGTAAACTATTATTAAGGAAACTGTTTTAAATATATAGAAATAAATACAGAAGAATGTATCTAATGAACATGTTTTTACATTAAATAATTAAGTTTAAATTTAAACTTTAAAATATAAATAAATACAATTGCAAATCTACATTATATATAAAAGAGTTATATATTCTTAAAAACGAAAATGGTTAGGTTTGTACAATGGTTTGATTATGTAGTTTTAGTATGACAATAATAAAAAAACAACATGTTAATTTAATTTATGTGATAAATGAGTGTTATGAAATATTCTTCAAAATAATTATATTGATATATAATAAATTCCTTGATTTTGATGATCAAAATAATATAAGTAACACATTTTATATTTAAAATAATTTTTTTGATTTTCCAAGTTTTTACCATTTTTTTAGTTTTTTATTATATTATTTTTGTAAAACAGAATGTAATTCAACACAACCACTTTTTGAAAAACATTCTATTCGTGGGAAAAAACGGAAGTTTGGTGCCTCCTGTATTTTTCTAAAAATTCGTCTGTCTGTACATTCACAACTATTAAATTTTTTAAAAGTTAATCAAATTAAACACACACTTTTATTATATGTTTAATATTTATATTGTTTTGTGGAACTAAACTTTGATAAAACGATGGTTAGTCGATTGATTAACTATCGTTTTTTAAACAGCATCATTGTTTATAGTAAAATCAATTAAGATAGTATTGTACATTGCTTAATAGTATAAAACTATTTACAATAACAACTAAGATAAATTAATAAAACAACTTAATTTGCTTTTATAGATAATTTATTATTAATTAAACTATACAAACGAACCCAAAATTTGGCAATAACTTACTAACTTACTTGTGCCCTTTTTTTCTTCTATCAGTAATTGACTTGCAACTTTCAAAAGCGTTTTTACCAACTGAAGTTACAGTACTTGGCACAGTGATATCGAGTGATGTACACCCAGAGAAACATTTGGTCTTTATAATTTTCACGTTTCGAGGGATTTCAAGTGTTTTCAGACTTTCACAATGATAACAGCACCCTTCTCCAATATCACTGACACTTTTTGGTATTAACACATTTTCAAGTTTTGCGCACTCACTAAAGCAATAATCGCCTATATTCGACACTCCACTTGGGATTTGTATTTCTTTAATTTTAGAACACAACCTGAAACAGTAATTTGGAAGTGCTTTCAGACTTGTTGGTAAAACAATTTTAATTAAATTGGCGCATTTATTAAAACATGACTCTCCAAAAACCGAGACACTTTGTGGCAAATTGATGACCTCCAAAGAGTCGCAATTTTCAAAACAACTTTCTCCGATTTTTTGCGCACTTCCTTCAATGGAAATTTCGACTAATTTGGAGCAATTCGAAAACGCGAAATCGCCAATAAAACACTCACAATTTGGAATGTGGACTTTTTCAAGGGAATAACACTCGTTGTAGCAGTTTAACCCGATCCCGCGGACTTTTGATGGAAATTCGATTGTTTGGAGTTTGACGCAATTATTAAAGCAATTATTTGGAATATCGGAAATCGCGTCTGGCAGGGTCACGGACGTCAGACTGTTGCAATACAGAAAACAGCTTTCACCAATTTTTGAGACACTTTTTGGGAGTTGCAGCGAGACAAGGGAATTGCAATTATTAAAAGTGTAATTTCCAAGAGTGAGTAAATTGGATGGCAACGTCACTGAACTTAATGATAAACATAACGAGAAACACCCATCGCCAATACGAGACACGGAATTGGGGATGTCAACTTTATTAATTGTCAGTGTTGTAAAACACTGCTTGCCAAGGCGTTTGACATTTGGCGGTATTGCCGTGCCATATTTCTCAAGATCATCTTTGGTGAATATAACGTTCTTAAATGAAATGTTGGAGTCTTTGTGCATTTGAGTGAAACTGTAAGACACGTCGCACCAGATGTTTATCTTTAAAAAAGAATGCGCGTCCTCTTGAGAACACTTTTTGTTCGAGAAAATGTTGTGACCAAAAAAGTCGTCTTCTTCAGACCAAATGTTGAGTGTTGTCAGACTCGAAAAGTACTTTACTGTCTTTTTGTTTAAAGGAAATGGGTTATTCTGTAATTTCGAAATTGTGTCTGAAAACTTCTTACATGTGGTTTCAAGTGTTTTTAATTCATCAATTTTAGAAAAGAATTTTGAAACATAAAGAATTGCACAACCGTCTAAGT